ACAGCCTGCCCCATCCATCCCAGAGAGCAAACACCTATCCGTCCTCCCACCCCTCCAGCCTCTCCCCAGCTTCCTGCACTGAGTGCCCGAGCCGGCCTCGCCCGTCGACTGAGGGAGCCCCTGAGCCCCGACCTTCTGCTGACCCGGCTCTGAATCCCTGGGGTGGATTAGGGTGGGAGAACTGCCCGGGCCACCAGCCAGAGCTGGTCTTCAGGCTGCGTTGTTCGCCCAGGTTTCTGCATCTTGCACTTTGACATTCCCGAGAGGGAAGTGACTAGTGGGAGGGAGAAAAGGAGGGCGAGGGCAGGGACAGACACAGAGAGAGGCTGCAGGGTGAGCTCTAATGGTAAATAGATCTTTGAGGTTAAGGGCATGCCCCTGAGGTGGGGGAAGGGGTCTGCACCCCTGACCCCCCCCCAGCCTGTGCTCTTGCCCTGTACCAGGCCCCTGCCCCGACCACAGCCCCAAGGCTGCTGCTGGCTGGCACCTGGGGTGAGTGGTTGTCCCTGGTAGGAGCCCGGGAGGCAGTGACACCCTCCAGCTCTCATCCCACCCCTCGCTAGCACCATCTCTCTGACCAGGCAAGCCAGGGTGGGAGAGAGACTTGGAGAATCCAGGCATCTGCTTCCAAGTCTGCCTGAGGGCCTCAGCTTCCTGGGTCAGCCCATGGCTGTGGCTCTGAGAGTTGGGCAGCAGGTGACAGGGCTGTTGATTACCCTCGGTCCCTTTGTGCTACTGTGTCCCTCCTCACCTGCCGCCCTGGGCCCTCCACTGAGAGACCCTGCCCTACTTGGCCACTGGACTGGGGCCTAGGAGCTTCCCTTCCTGCCCTTAAAAGTGAGGGTCCGCTGGTCCCTGCCTCCCCTGCCCTGTTGCTGTCAGCTGAGGGAAGGGCAGTGGAGAACTTTCCCCTTTGGGTCCCTTTTCCTAGTCACAGACTCTATATTTGATACGAAAAAATGTATATTTAAAAGTGGAAGGAAAAAAAACCCCACAGAAAAAGCATTCCTCCCTCACTCCCCACCCCTTAAACGTGTGGTATTTTAAAGGTCGTGAAAGCAAGTCCAGTCCATCACAGAAACTCTTTGTGGGCTCTTGGTGACACAGGAGTGGGAGGGGCCCCAGAGCCCCCTCTGGGTGGCTCCCCAGCTACCTGAACAGGAACCCTTCTTTTCTCTGAGAAAGCCGAGAGGGAACATTGGCTCACACACTGTGAGATTTTGTTTTTATACTTGGAAGTGGTGAATTTTATATGAAGTCATTTAAATATCTATTTAAAAAATAGGAAGCTGCTTATATATTTAATAATAAAAGAAGTGCACAAGCTGCCATGTGTGAGTCATGGGAAAAGTTGCTTTTGGTGTGTGAATGGCAAAAATGGAGTTGGAGGGGTGACCAGTAGCTGCTGGGTGAGACCCAGCTCAGAAAGCATTTTTCAAGGTACGTGGGGAAGGAGGGTTCTCTCCAACTTCCAGTCTTGTTACCAAAACCTCCTGCATTATCGCTGTCCCAAACACATTCATCTGCCTATCTGTTTAATAGGAAAATGGACAGAAACCAGCCAAATGTCAGGCCTGCCCACCAGCCCCTGCCCCAGCCCAGCCTAGCCCAGCATGGTTGGTTGGGCTCTGTCCAAGGGTCCAAGGGGCCTGTAAGGATGAGGCTCCTTGACCACTGACCCCTGCTGTCTGGGTCCTAGCAGGCTCTGAGGTGAATGAGCACTGTCTCTGGACTGGGAACTAGGCGAGGCTGGCAGAGGGAGAGCCAGCAAGCTCTGTGAGTGGCCCTAAGCCCTGATCTTCCTTCTGGGAGTGGAGAGGAGACCAAGCATGCAGACCTCCAGGGGCAGAGGGGTGCTGGGAAGGTTCAGAGTGATTGAAGGCCCAGCATAGCCCAAACACACACCCTGGGCAAGGCTGGGATAAAAGGGTCCTCCCCACCACTAAGAATGTGGTGGACAAAGTTTTGCATCAGTGGCTCTCAACCCTGGCTCACCTGAAACTAACTTAGGTTGTTTCCCAAAATACTGGTACCCAAGCCCCACCCTAGATCAACAAAATGAGAATCTCAGGGGTGAGGCTCAGACACCAGGCATCAGAAGTTTCTCAAGACATTTCAAGTAATTCAGATGTGATCCTGGATGAGAAGCATGTAGAGCTACACTGTCTGATATGGAAGTTATTTGGGTTTAAATTAATTAAAATGAAATAAAAGTAAACATTCAGTTTTTCAGTAGTTACTAGCCACACTTCAAAGTTCTATAGCCACGTGTGGCTACCATGATGGATAACACAGATACAGAACATTTGCATCATCTCCGAAATCATATTGGACAGCACTGCACAAAAGTTTGTGTACCCGGACTTAGGAGACCAGGGTTATAGGGTCAGAATGGGCACCAAGCAAACATGCCTGGAGCTAAGTACCCAGGTATCTCACTTACCCCTCTCTGTGCCCTGAGCCCCCACTACCACCCTGTCTCTCATCATTTCCCTTAAGCTAGCTCCTCCCTTTCTATCAAAAGCTCCTCAGAAAAGATTTTTGAAGAAACTTATTCATATTTTTTTCCTTCAAGTCACAACTTAAAAGTTGCCTCCTCTGAGAAGCCTTCCCAGCCTGACCCAGGTCCCGGAGGCCCACCCTAGCTCAATTCCTTCCTCCCCTGTTCTCCCACAGACTGAGAGCCTGTTTATTTGTCTGTCCCACCAGGCCACTGACTATGGCGGGAACTGTGCTGTATCCCTCCTTGCACCCCAGTACCTGAGAGTATCTGGCACGCAGTAGGTGCCCAATAAATGTGCATCAAAAGGTTAATACTGAATGCATGAACAAAGGTATAGTAAGGCAAATTCTGACCAGATTTAATGGTGGCCTTTTCTAGGGGCTTACCTGATATTAGCCAATGGAATGTATATCTAATAACTACAATTCGTTAGTAGAGGAGGTATTTTCGGCAGGTCTCCCTGGCTTCTGTTGGAGATGGGGCTAGGTTAGAACCCTAACTGCTCACTGGGCAGTGGATGGAATGTAATTTCAAGGGCTTTAAGCAAGGATTGGCAAACAAACAAGTGCCCCTGCCCCTCTCGTGCCTTTCCAGAGGCCCCAGGAGGTATCCAGAAAGAAATGCCAGAGAATCTCAGTAGCCTTTCCTGGGCTTCATGTGCTGCAGGTGCTGCTTCAGAAGTGTCGTATCTGTGGAACGACATCAACTTCGGATTCAGAGCCAAAGAACTTAAGCCATTGGCTTGGATCTCTTCCTGCTGTGTGAACGTGGGGAAGTATTTAATCTCTTTGAACCTCAGGTTTCTCCTCATCTTTAGAACTGGCTTAAGAATACAAGCCAGCTATACCTGGTCTGAGGTTCAAATGCAGGGACAAACCCAAAAGCACCTTGTGGACTCTAAAGGCTGCCCTCAGATAAAGTGTGTTCTGATGCTGCCGCTGCCAGCTGGTCCCATGGTGCCCAGGCCAAACACAGCTCCTCTCTGGGCAGGCACTGGGGACCCAGGATGCTGCCAGAGCCTGGCTGTACTCAGCAGAAGGTGGCAGAGCCAGGTGCTTCCTGCTGGCATGAGGATTCAGATACCTTGTAGCTCAAGGATTTGGGGCTGAAGGGAAGGACAGGTAGGAGACTGAGCAGGAAATGGCCCTGGGACATAGCGGGTGCCTGTTAACAGGCAGGGTCAGGAACTCTGGCTTTGAGTATGCAAGCAGAAGGGCCCAGCCAAACCCCAAACCATTATCCGGCCAGAGCCAGGAAACTGAATCAGAGACAACCAGGAAGAAGCCTGAGGTTAACCTCATGCAGACTGCAGGCCATGGCAAGGAAGGGGTTGGGGTGGCCTAGGGTCTGGGCAGGGCCTGGGTGGGTATCTGATGACCCCCTGAATGAGAAGCTAAAGTCATTAGGGGGTGGGCAGTGACTAGGCAGCCTGAGGCCCAGGTCAGCTGCAGGGCAGCCCTGGGGAAAGAGACCATGTTTCCCGACAAGGGCCCCCAGCCCCCAGTGAAGGCACCCTCTACCAGAGCAACACTTTTGTCCCCTGGTTTCCTGGGCCAGTTTCTGGGAAGGGGGGTGACCAGGCTCTGCCGCCCTGGATGCTGGGACTGCTGAGGGAACAAAGTGGACTGTGCCAGCCTGGAAGGCCCCCTGGCAAAGTAAGGAACCACAGAGAGGCTCGCTCCCA